ATATCTCGATACGCATCTCATCGCCGTCCCCAACAACAACGTAAAGGACTTCTACAAAGACTACGAGGAGCTGTGTCCCATGGTCGTGCCCCGCTCCGCCAACGAACTGGCCAAAGACTCGGAATTCACTTTATTCGCTGTCACCACCTTCAAAAAGCACTCCGGCGAGTTTGTGCACAAGTGCAGAGAGAAGCGGTGGACACCAAGAGAGTACCAGTACAAGGAGGGCAACAAGGAAGAGGAGGCCAAGGAGGCGGAACAATTAGCCAAGGACGAGAAGAAGCTCTGGGGCGAGGCATTACGGCTTGGTCGCACAGGATACAGCGAAAGCGCCATGATCTGGATTCACGTCATGGCGTTGAGGGTGTTTGTCGAGACGGTGCTGCGATACGGTCTACCGCTCGACTTTGTATGCGGCATAGTCCAGGTGAGTTTGGCGTACCACAAACCCCCCAGCATATCTGCTAATTTTCCCAGACCGACCCCAAGTCAGCGAAGAAGGCAAAGTCAAATCTCGATTCGGCTTACGCATACCTCGGCGGCAACGCCTTTGGCCGCGACAGCAAAGGTCGCATCCAGAAGGACGACCAGGCTCTTTCGACTGACATGGCACAAGCTGGTCAGATGGAGCAGGAGTACACGGCGTACGTGTACTACGAGTTTGAGGTGCTATAGTGAACCATCGAAGCAATGATGAGCATTCGATGTGGAATTGCATGGCTCCGATGGCGTCTGCATGGGGTAGATTTATACTTGGAGTTTGTAGATAAGCTGTTCTAGGAAAGTGAAATGAGAAATATGGCACAAATTATTTCTTCGTAGATGCTGATGGCTGGGTAGTGTAAATCTTGCCGCAGCCGTTGGGTTTTTGAATGTAGAGGAAACGAGCATTATGAGTGAGTGCATTGCATAGCGTACACTGATTATTGGGGACTCGGGAAAGCGGATGGGAAAGGCGCGAGAGCATGAGGAACGCGAGAATATGCTGGCCTAGGATGGGAGATTTGGTGCACGATTTGCTATATCATAATGAAGAGGAATTATTAGATAAATCTGTCAAGTGCATGTTCATGGATTTTAGCCGGCTGTATCTTATCATCGTATCCTACTTCGCTCACTTGGATGTAGCCCTCGAGCGGCGGCTCTTGTGAGTGGAGCGGGCGGTGTTCTGGCGAACAGACGTAAGACTCTTTACTGTGAATCGTCGAATAGAGCAATTACTGAGCACCTTGGGGAGCAAAGCACGGTTCAGGCAGATGATATTCAAAGCTCCGCGATGGTGGATGCGTGGTGGTGAAAGGGAAGTATAGGCGGGACGTCAGCCGGCACTAGCGCAAAGGGCCGCCGCGGGAGTCACGGATCCTTGTCGCAACTTTACTTTCTCCAAATCTTCCCCACCACCACCAAATTCCCGATTCATGACACTCGCTACGACTTACGTGTCATAACAATGGCCGACGCAGACGAAGATGCGTCGCACTTGCGCGTGCCTGAAGCTGCTGACTACGACCCCACGGAAGAAGCGCAAGATTTCCTGAAGCTCGACAAGCTCACGTAGGCTTTCACATGCCCTCATCTCTTGTCGCATGGCTGACATAACTACCCAGAGCACAAGATAGCGCGCATCCCACATTACCCAAGCGCGGTGAAAAAGACTTCGAAAGTCATGAGACGAACCTTCAGCTCGACACACTCGAGGCCTCGCGCCGGGCCATGCACGGCGTCCTCTCGTGGCAGCGCACGCACACGCAAAAGGGCCACATCTTGGCCATGTACGACCCAGAGCGTAACATGGCATGTGTCGACAAGGTCCGTTCACAGCACTTCCAGACGATAGGAACGAACAAAGGAGGAAGAGAATGGCTGTTGCCAGAAGAAGCGTTATTCTTGCTCGAACGAGGCACATTGGATGTCCGGTGGCCGGTAAAGCGAGAGGTGAGCGACAAGACAGTGTACAGGACTGAAGACGGCGCGCCCATGAGCTTGCAGTCGGCATATGCCGCCTTCATCGGATTCGAGAGCGGTGTCGGTGGAAAGTTGACACTGGAGATGTATAACGTCTACGCAGGACTGAAGAGATCGGGCTACGTCATCTTCAGGACAGGAACATGGGACCACGATAGAGGAGACGTCGTCTTAGCACCACCCAAGGCAGAAGACAAGACCGAAACAGGACCAGGAATCATCACACGCTTCTTCTCCGATCTGTGGCGGCGACTGAGTGAGCCCACATACCACATCTCGTCCGAGCAGCTTGCTTTCGGCCCGCTCATCAAGCCCGGCTTATACCGAAGCTACAACGACGTCTACCGCCTACTCAAGCTGATACCTACCTACGACCGCTCCGTCCCACCCACCTTCATGCTCCCACCTTCGTCAGACAACCCATACCGCGTCCACTTCGACGTCTACCGCACCACGGCCCGATTCAAGAAATCCGCCCGCGGACCCCCAGACTTCCGCATATGCGTCGTCGACGCGCGCTCGACACCTATACCCACAGGCGCACAACTGAATGATCTCATGGCACAGGTGCCGGAAGACAGACCCAAGGGCGATGGGGGCCACCCGAACCAGAGACTGAAGCATGGGTGCAGGAATGTGGTAGTCGCGGTAGTGGATAATGGTATACCGAGTTATCTGAGGATTGCGGATGCTCCGTTTGATGAGGTTAAGATTTATGAGAGGTCGGCGCCGAGAGGGAAGGGTGGGGGGAGAGGAAGAGGCGGTAGGGGAAGAGGGAGGGGGAGGGGACGTGGTCGTTGAACATGAGCGTGCAGTGCATCCATGCCACGATCGCCAACAACGGGGTGTCGTCGAGAAGACTCAGCCGAGGGCTTTGTTTCGACCGCCCAGGTCTTCCGCCAAGGACTTGTTCACGACGTCCACAGCTGGGCAACGCATGAGGTCGTATTCATTCTCTCCGGTCCACAGAGGCGCATCGGAATAGATTCCTTGGAGCATACCCGTCTTTCTTCCACGCACTCAACTTTCCATTGGTTTCAGCCTTGCTTGGATGTGCATGCACTATGACCCTCTCCACGCACCTACCAAACAACGCAATACTATGTGTGTCGTCCCTTGGGTTCAGATCGAGGACATCCGCGATCAAGTAGCGCCGCGACGGGAAGAGTTCCGGAGAATGACGTTGGGCCAGACCATCGGATGGTTGCTGAGGCGTTCAGGCACACCCATTCTTGGTGCACGTACCATTTTTCAACCTGCATACGCCACGCGCTCATATGGTACCCAAGTACCTGGTCTTTTCAAATAACGCTATGCTGAGCTTGGGCGCAACATAAATTTGAGACTTCTCGGGACTTGCCGACTGAGTCTGCAAGTTGAAGTAGCTTACACATGGGTGTGTAAAGGTGCGTGGAGCTTTGGGCAATGTGCACTGACGCAAAGCCGACAGCAGGACCCAGATCGCTGGAGACGCGTGACAATCTGAGCGAAGCAACACATTGAACGCCCTGAGCAGATTCCTCGCCATCTCTCATGCTCGATAGCAGAGATCAAACAGGCTCTTCCTAGCTTTCCCTTGGATATCTACAATAAAAGCTCTCCCGCAGGTCAACGCAAGGCGGGGCCTCCGGAAGACGCATCCATAGTGCAGGTGTTGCGCTATTCACGCGCACCAGCCCAATCGTCCGCACGGCAGTCGTCCCGCTCCTCACCATACTAATTCCTCGATCGCTACCCAGATGTCACCCCTGCGCCGATCCAAACGTGGGAAGTCGATCAAACGGTTCGCTACGCTAGTGGTGACGATCTATGATACCGTCATGCCGGCGAGAACGAGGCTTCAATCCAACACTATTTGCGCTATCGTCGCGCACTCCTGATTACAACTTCGATGGTCCGCGCGAAACAAGCTCAACCCCCAATCTGATGCAAAGGCGCATCCAATTCTTCGGCGCTATCGTCGCACAAAGCAGTGACATGATATCGGCGGCGTGTCCTGTCTACTCTAGACCTGCAGTGAGACATTTGCAGGCGTTGTGATGGGGGCTGCAGGTCAACAGACAGCTACGACTTCGATATCTATTTGTCAGTCACCAAATCCATGAGAGATTGTTTGTCAAGTGTTGAACCATCAAGCAAGACAAGAGTGCTGGAAGATTGTCGATCAAAGACCCACTTCACCTATGAAGACGTTCCGTCGTATTCAACGGCTGCATCGTGGGGAAGAGGGCCTTACCCTGTTTGCACATCAGTATCATCAGAAATGGAGATGGTGTTGCACCCTGAAAGCCAACCCCGCGTTGGGCACCATCCCTGGCGAGCACTTATGGTTGCGGGAACTAGTGCTAGCCGTCCTAGCACCAAACCTTACATGGCATTATAGAAAAATGACCGTGTCCGATCGAATGCAAATCGACTGCTTGGCGCCTTATCGCATCACGAAGCAACCAGGTCGACGGGCCAGCCCTTTGCGCAATGCGCTAGTGTCCGCTTCCAGACCGTGTTACTCCACCCAAGCCTATGGCGGAACGGCACCCGTACCTTGGAATTGCTTAGACATTGCGACTCAGGAGTACTGCACGAAGCGGATCTGGTCCGCACCAATCAAAGTTGCCACAAAGCAGGTACCCAGCTCCGGCAGCCTCGCGCACTCCCGATGGCATACACCAAGCGTTCTTCGTGGCCGTTCTCGATACCAAAGTTCTAGATCCAGGGCACGTTCGCAATGAGGAGGGCCAGACCAGAGCAGTAGACTGCAATTTGCATTGCTCGTCGACATCGATCGAGTCCGTGGCTGAGGAGGAAATCCAAATGATGCTGGTCCAAGGGATACTCCAAGACAACGGCCTTCGTCTTGGAGAAACACATAAAGACCAGCCAATTCTGCTACATGAAGAAGGCATCCTCAGCATCTCCAGCTCTCGCTTTATAAGCTTCACAGCTTTACCTTCGCTCTTAATCTCTTGTCCTCCTCGGCATCTCTCTCGCTTCCTCTCTCGCTACCCTTACTCGCTCGGTCTATCATATCAATCAAGATGAAGCTCTTCGCTACCATCACCTTCTTCAGCGCTTTGGCTGCAGCTGCGCCAGTCCTCGACGCACGCGCTACCACCACCGCGAAGACCTCCAGTGCTCTCAAGACCAGCAGCGCAGCGGCCGTCGTCAAGTCCAGCAGTGTAGTTGCAGTCGTCACTGCGAAGTCTAGCAGTGCAGCAGTCGTTTCGAAGGCTAGCAGCTCCGCGGTAGTTTCCAAGGCCAGCAGCTCTGCCATCGTCTCTAAGGTCAGCAGCGCTGCCAGCTCAGTCATCACTTCGAAGGCCAGCAGCGCAGCCGCCACAACAACGGGTACCGCACCTCTGCTTGGTGTCAATGTCGGTGGATCGTCCTCACCTCTTTTGGGAGTCAAGGTCTCGTCTTCGACCTTGTTGGCCGTCGACGTTAGCCTGGGAGCTTCATCTGCCAAGGCCTCATCGGTAGCCACCATCACTGCGGCGCCCACTTCCGCTCCAGCTACAGCTTCCACTGCTCTGCCGTCCACCTTCTCCGCTCCAGTCCAGGGACAAGGCAAGCTCACGCTCGACAACCTCCCCGCGATGCCGGGCGTGATCGACAAAGCCTTCTCTGGCGTTCTTGGTGCTGCCTATGGCCTCAGTAAGTGCTCCATTCTACCCACAAGCCATTCAATCGACTAACAAAGTGTCACAGTGTCTGGTGCATGTGACTCTTCATACAAGTGCAACATCACCGTAGCTGGTACAATCAGCAACCTCCTTGTTGATGGCAACAACTACGGCACGAACACTAGCGTTGCAGCATGGTGCGACGGAGGCCGCTGCTATGGTGCTGCCAGTGCTCCGTTGAGCGCGACGGCTCCTTTCATCATCACCTGCGATCAGCTCAGCGGTACACAAGTCTGCTCTGCGACCATCTCGGGTGCGGCCAATGCCATCTTCCAGAATGGACAGTCAGTTGGTAAGTCTTCATCCATCCTCACATCACAGCTCGACGCTAACTTTGACTAGAACTGTGGGGCTGGCTTACGCCCGCCGGATACTGCCAGAATGGTGTATGCACCGCATCTATCACAGCCGTTGGCGACCCAATGTACTAAGCGGAATGAATGAGATGAGCTTATGGGCCAGTTCGATATGATCGAGGAATGCAATGCCGAGGAGGACAAGAGATCATGTATCGTGTTGAGTATTTGTTCGTCAGGGTGTATGGGCCCGTCTAATATGGTGCGTGCTTTGGGGGTCATTTTCATAGCTGTTGAGATAGGCTTAATGCGATATGATGTTTTTCTACTCGTGCTTTTGACAGGGTTGGTTTCTTATACCTGAACCTGGAGTCTATACCACAGTGGGACGTGTGTGGATCGTTGTGCAGGATTCTTCCTCCGCTTGACGCGGTACTGGGAACTCCAGGGGGAAGCGCAGTGTAATCAAGACGCGCAAACGACACCATAATTGTTATCCGAGACGTTCTGTGTCATAAGAAGGAGGTATAGCGAAGGCGTGCTGTATAGCATCACAGAACGGGAATAACGCAGGTAGGTATTCCATGTCAAGGACTATAGTGAAGGGTATATGTTGAACGCCTGATGTATACCTCCAATATCTGGTCCGCGCGTGATCAGAGATAGAAGATACCTGCTGTGAATGCGTGTCTGTGTTTGGGTTGGGAGGTCATGAGAAAAGTGGCACTCGCGTGCTGTCGCCGCGCTACGCGCCTTCTCCAGCACGTTTCTAGCCAACGGTAGTGCTGAAAAGTTCACAAAATGGCGACCGCATGAAAGCGCGAGCCCAATTGTATATGATTCGTGCGCATTTCAAATTTGCTACGCCCTTATTGGAACAAGTCAGTCAGCAGGTTTCGCACACGCTGTTATGGGTTCCTGGTCCCCACTATGGCTCCGCCTTTATCGCAACGGGGAATTCTTCTCGGGGCATTTCGCAACCACGACAAAAAACCAAAGGATTCACTAGCCGGGCTCATGACGTAGGATTTGAAATGATGGGGCATCGTTTTACTTTCCATCTTGGCGATTCAAGAACATGTTCACGGCTGCATCGTGAGGCATTGTGGCTTAAGAGGAGTTGCAGCTTGCGAAGCTGGCCTGCATGATCGTAGACGAACGGGAGAGGACATCGCACACGACCTATACAGTGCAAACAATGTACTTTTCATCGACAGCCTTGCGATCAATGAGTTTCGTTGGATTCCAGAGGCTATCGCTCTCGTGAACCACGACTCATGAGTGGATTCACACAGCGTCCAAAGTGGGTTGATACAACCTCCAAACTGATTCGATACAGCATCCACAGTGGGTTAATGCGGCGTTCAGAGTGGACTGGTACGGCTCTGGAAGTGGGCGCATTACTAGGTACCTTGTGCAATGAAGTCACGGATACGCTGAGAATCGAGGACGTTGTCGGACAAGAGCCCACAAAGCTTATCGTGATGAAGACTTTTCTTTCAGGGTCAGCGTTCGTGATGCCAGGGATCGTCAGTGTCTTTGATTGCAGACTGCCGTATAAGTTGACTTGATGCGCGTTCTTTCACTCACGCACTGAACAAGCCAACCATTCGCGGTAAAGATGTCGTCCAACATGTCGATTGACGGACTACCACAAGTCCCATATGCTCCGTCAAACTTGTCCCTGGTATCACTAGCGCAGTCCTTCCCAGCAGTGATTGCCATCCTGCTGGGGCTCGTGGCCGTTCTCTCGATCGTCGTTAGTGACAGCGGAAAACCGAAACATCCGCTAGCAAATCGTCCACGCTGGAACCAGACCACCCTGTCAAAACGGATCGAGTTCCTCAAGAACGGAAGGGCAATACTAAGCGACGCGAGGAAACGCTACGGCAAGCAACCGTATAGGTTGATCGTTGATACGGGCGAATGTCTTATTCTACCTCCTGAGTATGCAGCAACGATCCGTAATAGCATGGATCTTAGCTTTGCACAGGCAATAGAGAAGAACTTCTCCGGACACGTTTCCGGCTTCGAAATGTATGCTGTCTTGCTCCACGAACAAAGACTTGTACAAAATGTTGTAAAGGATCAACTTACCAAGTATCTAAGTAAGAAGCAAGCGAATTCGTGTGTGTTAAGAAGCTAACGAGGCTCTTCAAGATGTCCTGACAAAGCCCCTCTCGGAAGAAGCAAGTCATGCTCTCGACGTGATATTCGGCCAAGACACGGGTGAGATGACTTTCCTCTTCGTCTCAAACAGATGATACGAGCTAACCCCCTAGCAGAGTGGAGAGAAACCGTCATAGCAGACAGCATTCTCCAACTAATCGCCCGTCTCTCCACCAGGGTCTTTCTCGGCGACACCATGTGCCGCAACACGGCGTGGCTCGAAGCTTCCAAGGCCTACACGGTGGCAAGCTTCACCATGATTCTCAAAATGACAGCCCTCCCATCCTCGCTCAAGTTCCTCGTTCCCTGGTTCTCCTCCGAGGCGAAGAACGTCTTCAAACATGGAGACACATGCCGCGCAATCCTCACATCTCTTCTCGCCGAGCGTCGAGCTCTGAAAGCCGAAGCCAGAAGGAACGGCAAACCGGAACCTGTATTCAACGACATGATCGATTGGTTCGAGCAGAAGAGCGGCGGGAAAGGGTACGATCCAGCTCTGTTCCAGATTGCGCTATCGTTTGTAGCGATACATACGACCAGTGAGCTGCTAACGCATACTATAACCTTGCTGGCGAACGAACCACATTACGTTACGGCATTGCGGGAAGAAATCGTGAGGGTACTGACGGCCGACGGGCTGACCAAGGCGGCGCTCGCAAACCTCACATTGATGGACAGCGCGTTGAAGGAGTCGCAACGATACAGGCCCGCTGCATTCTGTAAGTCGTTCCATCAATAACGGGAAAGAACTGCAAGCTAACCCTGCCCCAGTAACAATGCGCCGTCAAGCCCGACGCACCGTCGTCCTCCCCAACGGCCTCGTCATCAACAAAGGCGAGCAAATCGCCGTCGACGGCTTCAACATGTCAGACCCCAACGTCTACCCCGATCCACACAGATACGACATATACCGCTACCAGCGCATGCGCGCCAGCACCGACCGCGCCACAGTCAGCCAGTCGCATCTCGTTTCCACCGGTCCCAACAACCTGTCATTTGGACATGGCGCACAAGGCTGTCCAGGCAGGTTCTTCGCTGCGAATGAGATGAAAATCGCGCTGTGTCATTTGCTGCTCAAGTACGATTGGGAGTTGGCGGAGGGGACGGATCTGGAATCGAGGTTCTTGTTTGGCGAGACGGAGGCGCTGAGGAAGGGGAATAGGCTGAGGTTTAGACGGAGGAGGGAGGAGATTGATTTGGAGGGGTTGGGGTATGTGTGAGTGGGCTTGAGGTAGACGTGTAGAGTAGCGATATAGCTGTTAATCATGTGACATCGTGTTGGTGTAGCACGAAAGCGTTGTAGGCAGTATTCCTGGTGATGAACACGAGATTGGATCGGCATGGCAAGAAACATTGCGCAGGGATGACGAAGTGACTGCTGACATCAAGCCTCACGCATTGCGCGTCTTCGTGCAGCACTGGATGAGGAAGAGTAGGGTGGAATGGACAGACGGTTTGTCTCAACACAATGGTGTGTTGTGTCACGTCGTGTTGCTGCGGGCGGGCGTGCGGGCGTGATGAGGGCCGCCAAGGATTAGCGCGTAACGGGTTCGACCGCCCTTGCCCGAGCTTTCGCGCGCCGTCTCACCTCCTGCACTCCATCCACCACCTGTGTGCATTCCGATGCTGGCCGTGAGATGTCCGCATTTACCTAACCTGTTGCGGTATCAACCGACGGGAATTCTGACACTATGATCGGAAGACATCATTTTACACCAGCACCCGGCGACTTGTTCAAGTCTCCGGAATGATGCGTCGCGGTGGACAACCTTCGGAAACATTACAGTAATCAGCCCTCGAGATGGCTCAACGTCGGCAGAATCCCTGAAGTATGCGAAAAGTTTCCGTTCCTTTTGACCATCCTGTACATGTAGGGATTTATATATACGTATCACGAAGCCAAACCAAAGATGCGGCACGCGCATGAGTCTGGTCACTCTACAACTTCACCCTTCCCAACTTACCATGTCGTCGCAGAACCAGCAGCATGAAACAACCGTCTGGCTCTGGCCGACGGGCCTGTTCCCGCGCCGGATCATCTACTACCTCCGCGCAAAGAACATTACCTCTTCGATGCTTCACGAGAAGAACATACGTCTTATCCCAATCTTTCTTGACAAAGATGCGCCGACGCCAGACCTCGTCCCCCACCCCGGCCTCGAAGCCCGTCCTACCGGAACCTCGGTGCCGGCACTGCGCATCACATACGCCGATGGTACGATCTTCTGGATATACGAGTCGAATGCGATGATGGAGTACTTCGAAGAAGTCTTCAGCGTGGCCAATGGGTATCCTGATGTGAGGGGCGCAACCATACAGCAACGAGCTCGGACGAGAGACATCTTGAGCCTGCTCTCCGATGCCGTCACTTGGAGTAACGTCGCGCTTGTACATTCGCATCCGAACACGGTGTCCTGGTCGGGCTTGACGGAGGACGAGATGAGTGAGAGCGCGGCAAAGCATGCGCGTGGCAAGTTCCACATGCTCTTGTCGCGGTTGGAGGCTCGGATACAAGGAGACGTGGTTGGCAACAAGAGCGAAAGTTTGAGTGGTGATGGCGCAAACGTCACATTAGCGGACCTCTGCATCATGGCCCAGGTGGAGTATATGCAGGAGATGTATGGTCTCGATTGGGTCGCCGAACATGGGGTGTTGAGGGTCTGGTATGATAGGAGCAAGGGACAGAGTTGGGTTGTCGGTAGGAGTGCGCTACAGGACGTTGAGAGAACGGGCGAATGGACCGGAGTACTTGACATTTAAGGGCCATAGTATGTAGCTGCAAGATTTCCAATCGAGCTTCTACTGCTCTCAGTCGAATCGCGCCCTGTTTCGCTGTTTCGCTTTTTCGGACATCAAAACTATCGCAATCATACTGTATACCAAAGTACCATATCAATGACCTGCCCAAAGGACTACATCGCAGTCTGAGTTTAAGGTGCACTCTATTCATGCTGCTGTTCCGTTGTTTCGCGGTTGCGATGTCGTTGCGCGGCTCGGTGCGAGAGCTTGGGGCAGCCGCCAAGAATGAGCTGAAGCGGGGCGTCAGTCCAGCCAATTCCGCGGTCATGCGCACCGTCCCACCTTCCATCACGCAGCATGCACACCTATGGAAGCTGACGCGCGACCGCCAGCCAGAGCCTCACCCTTCTCAGAACCCGCCGATGAGAGCTCTATTCGGCTTCTCCGGTTCTCGCAGCCCGAAGATGGCGTCTTCGTTGGCAAGCTGCAGAAGTTCCCCATCGCCAGCGCGCCTCATTACTACACAGCCAGCTATGTGTGGGGCGAGCGCAAGTACAAAGGTGCAAAGATCCATCTGAAAACCGGGGGACTGCCCATATTAAACAGCCTGGTACCATTTATTCACATGGTCACCCGCCATGGCGACTTCAAGGCCACAGACTGGTGGTGGATTGATTCGCTGTGTATCAACTTGGATGATGCCAGCGAACGCGAGAAACAGGTGCGCATCATGGCAGACATCTACAAAAGAGCCAGGCGAGCAATAATCTGGCTGGGTGAGGAGAAAGAAGATGGTAGCGACTGCACTGATGCCATCGACTTCATGCACTACCTGTCCACCTTGCAGATCGGGTTCAACGGAGACGATCTTGCCATGCGCAAGAAGCTCGAGAACTCTGAGTTCACCAACAAGTGCGTCGCCGTCAGTAATTTGCTCGCCAGGCCATGGTGGACAAGGGTCTGGACGTTACAAGAGTTTGTCTTGCCAAAAGAGGCGAAACTCTACTGTGGCGTGGGTAGTATCAGCCGCGGAAGGTTCAAAAGTGCAATCTATAGCATCTTCCTTTGCAGCACCATCAGCAAAGAGTTTGAACACGAGCTTGTTCCGCGGAAGCTCTTTGATGGAGCCTTCAATCGCCGCCGCATTCATCAATGGCACACCAAGCCGGCCTCAATCGGTATCAATCTGATCGCCATTATGGCGTACCTGGGTAATCACTCCGCTACCGACAGTAGAGATCGCATTTACTCCGTGCTAGGTTTGATCACTGAACAAGATCGAGCGCTCATCGGACCTGCCGAATATACTACCAGCATTGCGCACCAATTCGCGCGGCTTGTGCGCTCTTTCTGGAACGTTCATCAGTCCCTGGATATTGTCTGCTTTGCGCATCTATTCTGTGCCAATGCTGCAGTCAGCGACCCCGGCGTCCAAAATCATGTGCCTACCTGGGCTCCAGACTGGAGGACGACAATCGACTTCGCTTCGCCTGTGCCGCTGATGGCAAGCCAAAGTGCGTGTGAGCTTATTGGAAACTTCAGACCACTCAGATCAACACGCTGGAAAGCAATGTACGATGCTCCGGGAGAGAAACTGAGGAAAGAGGCAGATGTTTCCTTTGCCGAAGACTTGAAGGAGCTCCACTGCAACGGTGTCGTGCTGGATACTGTTCACGGGCTCGGTGGGCTTGACGAGCGGGAATTGCGATGCGAGAGCTTTGTCTGCCGCGAAACCAGTCATGACTTGATGCAATTGCGACAAGACCAGCATAGCGTCTCGCGAGTCGCAAAGCAGCCTACCGAGTGGCTTGAAGCCATAGCGCGGTCCTTGGTCATCGATCGTCGAGACAAATACCTTTGCTTCCAGGCGCCAGATCACTACATCAGCGACTTCCTCTTCCTCTGCCATGCCTGTGTTGACGGCGATCCCGTCGACTGGAGCTTTGCAACATGGTTTGAGCGCAACCGTCATGTGATGTTCGGCAACTCGTCGCTCGAAGACATAGTCCGACAGATACCCACAAAGTTCACTTCACCCCCTCCAACACTGCATCGGCCACCGTCGCATCCCGTACATCAGATGAACGACAAGCTCGATACCTTTCTCTCACGCTTCCACGATACTGTGCGAAAGAAAGCGCGTCGGCTGATGGTCACCGAACAAGGCTACGTTGGCATGGCGCCGTGTCGCGCAAGACCCGGCGATGTCGTGGCTGTCATGTTCGGCTGCAGCATCCCGCTCGTCTTGCGAAAAGCTGCGTCGCAAGCTGTGTGGCAGGTTGTCGGCGAGGGCTTTGTACATGGCAAAATGAATGGCGAGATTGCAGACGAGCTGAAGAGCGGGACGCTCAACGTACGTCGGTTGAGGCTAGTTTGAGCTGCCGCAACTACTTCTCACGCGCGTGATGCGTCGATAGAAAAAGGTAACTAGCGAGCGGTACAGCGCATGCAAGGTAATCGGTACCTCTGCTATAGCTTAGCCTTCTAGTCTAATATTAGCCTTGTCTGTGTTAGTGCACCTATTGCCAACCTAGATAACCCGAAACATCTTACTATTAGAATACTTCGAGCGTAACCTATTATATCGCTAAAGCTTATATTCTTCTATATTCTCTTACTTTTAAGACTTGTAACAACGCTATAACTCTTCTAGACTTTGTCTAAGGCTCGCGACTTTCTTTTCTATACTAGGCTATCTACTAATTAATAATACTATAATAGAGAATTCTACTTTCTATAGCTATTAATAAAGTGTTATATTATAAGTTACATAGCTATATTATTACGTCTAATAGTTATCTTATTTATTACGCAAAGTAAAAATAGTCTCTAGATATTAAGTATATATTAATTAGAGGCTATTTTACTATATAATACTATAGCTTTACGCTACTTTATATTATAATTTGTAATAGTTAGCCTAGACTACTATTAGTGTATAAGAAACTAAAGATAGGTTTACTACGTATAAGTATAAAGGTATACCTCTTACACTTACTAATAGCTATCTACTTACTCTATCTACTTTAGCTCTAGATTATAATACTTTGTCTTATACTAGAAGATCTATATAAAAACTTCTCTAATATATCTAAAGACTTCTACTATCTAATTATTCTACTTTATATTAATATTAATAATAAGGTAGAGATATTATAGTAGTTAATATTTACTAAGTAATAGTAGTTCTAGTGCTATAAGAATAATAATAACCTAGATCTAGATTATAGTATAGCTCTTATAATATATCTTTAAGATTATATTTAATCTAATAAGATATTAGTATTTAAGTATAATATTCTATAGAATAGTACATAAGATCTATTACTACTAATACTAGAGTAGAATATAAAAGATTAGAGTAAGCCTAACTATATTAGAATTCTAACTTTTATATCTAAAGGCTATAAAAACTAGTTAAAGTGTTTATTCTATACTAGACTTAAAATAGTATAGTATATAGTAAAAGACTCTACTCTACTAGTAAAAAGCTTCTAAATTATAGTATTAGACTATATAATAATATTATAATAAGCTATAAAAAAACTCTAAATAATACTATATAGTATAAAGCTCTAGTAAAAGACTTCTATATTCTAGTAAAAAATAAGTAAAATATACTAAAAGGCTATACTAAAAGGCTATATTAAAAAACTATATTAGAAAACTACTATATCTAAGTAAAAAGTGTCTAAGGTATAGCTACGCTACGTAATAAAGAATATAATAGTAACTAATAACCTAATAGTCTACCTAAAAAGATACTAGTAAAAGACTTATTATATATAGATTTTCTTTTATATAATATAGTAAATCTTTCTTCTATCTAAGAAGCTAGTTATATAATATTATATATAGTTTATTCTATTCTAGAGATATATAAAGTAGCTATTTTATATTTATTATCTTTTATCTTAGATAACTTTAGACTTAGATAGTCTAATCTATTTACTTAAATAAAAGCTTAGAGTCTAAGTTAGATCTATTCTACTTCTATAGTTCTATATACTATAATATATTATTACTAGTAATACTAGTTTTATTAGTATTATCTATTTATATTCTTTAGTCTATAACTTTTATAGTCTATTCTATAGCGCTAGCTTATATAGCGCTCTATTAACTATACTATACTAGTTCTAATAATAGTACTTATATTATAGTCTATTACTTCTTATTCTCTATATATATTATATTTTTAAGTCTACTTTATATAGCGTATATTACGTGTAATATTATATTATAGAGTACTTTTTATTATATAGTTACCTTCTTTAGTCTCTAATAGTCTATACTCTACTCTCTACTTTTATTACTATTACTAGCTATATCTATACTATCTATACTTCTATAATTATCTAAATTATATACCTTTACTATTTAAAAAAACTATAACCTATTCTCTACTAGCTCTATTAGTAACTCTACTAGATAGTTTTCTAAGTTACTTTTATAAATTACTTTAAGAAATAGCTACTTAGAAGAGAGTTTCTTTTATATATAGCTTATAAGTAATAGTTCTACTACTTTATAAAAACTACTAATATTATTATTATATTAGATAACTATCTCTATCTAGTTTTCTAGTCTTAGAATTAGCTTCTACTTTATAAATAAATTTAAAATAGATACGGGTTAGGGTTAGGGTTAGGGTTAGGGTTAGGGTTAGGGTTAGGGTTAGGGTTAGGGTTAGGGTTAGGG